ATCCAAAACCGAACGCAGATTTGTGAAGTGCACGAGTGGAAATTCATTAATAAAACATATTTGTTTCAAAATCAAACGAAAGGCTGCTTATTCATGTGTATTATTGGGAAACTCTTCATATATACATATTTTTTACTAATTCTTGAGTTCGACGCTTTGTTTATGTTCCTTAACACTAAGCCAGCTTCAATTAAATGGCAAATCCAGGACAAGTTAACCTGTCCAGTTGCAAGAAGATACTTTCTCAGTATTTCTTTTTATTTTCGTTAGATGCAACACAAAGAAAATTGGGTAATTTTAAGAAAATATTTCAAATACGTGAAAATGTTCTCGCCGAACGTGACAACAACCTTCGACGACAAATAAAAAAGTAATCGAGGCACAGGGGAAACAGGGCACAAAACATTTAGCAGTAAAATAGGAGCAGTTACCCGAAAAGTAGAAATGCCAGAAAAAATGAACATGAACAGCAATGTGATGTAGAGATATCCGTACATGTTTTTTAAAAAAGGTTTGAAAATGCAGGGAGTATGAGAAATTATGTAAGGAATTCAAAAGGACTCAAAAACTAAAAGCTCAGATGTAAGCTAAGTTACAAGTTACATGCTAAAATGTATATATAAAGACTTAAAGATTATAAAAGTCAACGAAATCTGTGGTCCTGGTAACCAAAGTTTAATTTGCGGAATCTGTAGCGTTCCCAAAAATTCTTTCCCTTAACAAGTCAACAAGCCAAACCCAAAGACAAAAGCTCAGCACCAACAAAGCCGGAAAATATATAGAAAATATCTGCGGACTTATCCGTAAGTCGCACCTTAGCTACGTCCTCACTGGACTTCACTAATAAGCTGCCAACGAATAAGAACATTTGATAAATACCGAGGACAAAGCCAAACAAATTATAAGTGCCCGGGATACGGGGATACCGGGATACATGGAGACTGGGATACAGGGATACAGGGATAACAGGAGTTGACTTCCCAGATTTATTAGCCAGCCGACAAACGGCCGCAAATGAGCAGCCAGAAAGAAGTGCCCACCTGCTATCTTCGCCATCAAATGTCACATAAATCAGATTTGTCTTCTAATGAAAACAACATCCAGATTTACCAGGGTTTATTTATTTGGCCACGAACTCATACAGAAGTCCGTATCGTGGCTAATTCCCTATTTTGCTTGGCATAATTCCAGCTCCACTTAATCTGTAGTTCGGGATGTCATCGCCGGGTATCTCGAAGATACTTTCGGCATATTAAGCTCAATTGTCTGGGGCTTAAAAGTTTCATGTTTGATTTCGCACAGATAAGAAGGCATCAATTTGTGGCACAGGTAAACTTTTTGATTGCCTCCCTCACCTGGCACACACACACACCCACACACAATGATAAGTTAAGCTGCTCATACAAATCGGTGGGCGGTGAGTTACTGAAGTGGGCGTGGGAAAGCTGTTAAAAACTGATGACGATATGCCCGAAAAGTTTAATTGGGCTCGTTCAATTGGAAGGAATATGTCATTTCAGATGTAAGTCTGGGAGACATTTTGTTGGGTGATTGCTTGGGTTGGAAGGGTTCTAGAAAGGGGGAGAGAATATTGTAGAATTCATTTAAGTTATTAATATTGATTCTTAAATTTTTTATAGGATTTTTTGACTATATAAACTTTAATACTTCAGTAACAGTGAACATTCCACAAATCATCTCCAATCTTTTCCCTAGCTGTCCACTCTGCTTATCCATTACCAGATTGAGCTGAATTATCGGGGGCAGACAGACAGGATGATTGCACCTCGAATCGATTTCCATGCAACTGAGGAAAATGGGGGAATAAGGGAGCTAAGAAATCCACACAATGTCATGTCGCCGGCTGCCATTATTTGTTGCCATTCGTTGTTGTCGCCTTGTATTGTTGTTAGCATTTGCAGCATTTGAAATGATTTGCAATAAAAGTGTCTGACACTGTCCATTGGCCATGCCCCATTGGCAGATTACGTGCCACTTCAGCTGCTGTCCATAGTCAGTGTTGTTGTCCTTTGTGCTGGTACTGGGATTGTTGGTTGGTAGAGCTCATCCAGCCTTTGTCGGATGAGTTGGCTTCGTCACTGTCCTTGCCACTGCCACGTAATTGCCTTTTGTTTACTCTGGCTTCTTCGCCTTGCAACGTTCCACACACCTTGGCATTTGGCCTTTACGCATTTCCCACAGGCGCACTTTTGTCAGATGTTCTGATTTAAGTTTAAATAATACTTCTTTTTATGATAAAAATAATTTGCTTTTTTGGCTTAAATTTTCCTTTAAGAAGATACCATTTAAAAGACCCCCGAATTATAAATCCGCTCCTGTTCGGTGTGTCGGCAATGGACAAAGCACAAACAGAAATGGACAGGAACGGCAATGGCTACAATCATCTTTCTTGCATTGCCATAAAAATGCGTGGCAACGAACAAATTACTCATAAAAATAAATAAAAAATTGCTGCCTTCCCGTCGGTTTCTGTTTTGGCCAGTCCTTGAGTTCTTGGCTGCAATTTCTGGCACATCACTCGGCATCGTCGAGGCCGTAAATTATATAGATTCTGGAAAGCATTTCTACACTCTGGCATGCAGGCCTTAGATGGTCGCCGGTCCGACCCATTAAAAGCCATTTTATCCGGGGAAATGGAAATGATTTCGTGTCATTGCAGCTACGTGTTGGTGAAAATGGCAACACAAGTCCGGAAGCAGAAAAAAATATATAGAAATTTCAGCACGACATTGCAGCTTTAATTTTTAACAAAATTTACGTTTTCTAGGTGAAGCTTAATGTATGCAACATGGATTTATTAAAGATTATTGAATACTTTATAAATTCAATCAACATCCATTAGGACAAATTTTTTTGTAGTCAGCTATTTAAAGATTTAAAGCCTTGAATACCTTGTTTCCCAATGGACTTAAAAGCTCACCCCAAAAGTAGGCGACCCATAAAATCAGTTCTCCCAATTTACATTTTATCGAGAAGGCTGCTGTTGTTTGGCTCATTATGTTGGCCATTTTTATTGGCTTCCAAAGATTTGCAGCTCGGACCCAACTCTCAGATGCGAACCTTAAAACAGGAACCCGCACACGCATCCTCATCTCGTGCTGATTTCATCAGAAAATACATTTCGTTACCTGGAAATTTTATGGTCGACAGCGGGGGATGTGGCCATGTGTTGTGGCAATTTTCATATATCTAAACAAAAGGAAAGTTACCTCGTTTCCTGCTTATCTGGCCGCCAATGGTTGATGCCATCTTAAGCGTCAGCAGACTCAGCCGATATTTGATTTTTTAAGACCACACCCCACATCCCACATACCACATTCCACACTGAATCCTTTCCTTGCGATTTACTTGCGCTTAAAATAACAATTTCAAATTGGTTTTACTGCCTGAAGGTTGGATTTTCTCCTTTCGTTTTGTGTTTATGTCGCCTCGCATTTTGATCGCTTTGCATAAGCGCCTTTCAGCAATTTGCTTTGCCTCTGACCATTTGCTATATGCGGCTTAAAGTGGCACTCCACCAGCCCTAAACCTTTCAAGAGTCAAGTGCATTAGATCTGGAAAGCTGCATGCTTTTCGGGTGAAAAGCGGAGATATTTTTTCGTTGGTTAGGGGACTCGGAAAGCAAACCTTTCAACTGCAGACAATAATTGAAAATGCTTTCTCTGTGTGTGTGTGTGTGTTTTTGTGTGTCCATGTGCGTGTTGGCCGAGTTTGTTGGCCCAACTTTGGGCGCTGGCATTAAATTTATGTTAATTGAAATTTATGTGCGCCGGCCACAGCTCAAGCTCAAACAAACAAAATTCGAAAAAAGGCCACTGGAAAATGGCAAAACTTTTCCTGACATTGGCATCCAGCCTGGTTAGCAGCGTGTCTCCCATTAAATGGCCAAAAAATAAATTCAATTTGCCAATCTTTCTGTTTCAACATTACATAATTTGATTGTCATTCGAATTCAAATATAAATCACATTGCAATTAAATTTGTTCAGTTTTAGCCAGAGGCAATTTGTGGCAAACGCAATTGTGTCGAGTAACTATTTAATATGACATTGTTGTTATTCGTGTCTGTATATTGAACTGAGAATGATATAATTTTAATTTATTCAAGTAACTTAGTAAAAGCTTTACAAATTTTTGATTGCATTGCATTGGACAATTGAAGGTAAAACAATGTTTTAACTTATAAGGAATAGAAGAGCAGTCAAAAGATATTACCAAAAACCTTACCTTGAAATATTTGTATTCTATAGTTATAACTTTAAAATAAACTATCTAAGCCTACAAGAGATTCGATATTATTGGCTACACAATACTGCAGAAGAATATTCCCAGGACGAAATGGTATCCGTACACTGCTATCACCAGTGAACTAATCAAGTTGACCATTTTGTAAAATTAAAATGGACTTCGCTGCTGCTTTACTGGAAAAGGTAATTAATTTAACGTCGCGCTATTTTTGGTATGAGATCTAATGATTAGATTGTAATGGAAAAGGTGCCTCCGGGATAATATTAATTTAATGTGGGTAAGTTGATGGGTTGGTGGTGTAATTGAGCAACAAAATATTCTGGTATTATTAAATCTATAGATAGGCTTTAACAAAAAACGGATTAAAACTCTTGAATATTTTTTAAAAATATTATGATAAAGCTTCTCATATTAATTATAAAAATAGAGTATATCTTATTCAAACAAACATAATATTACAAACACAACATCCAGGGGATAATATTTTATTTACTTTTATAGGAACATGTCAAAATATTTAATGGGAATCACTCGTTAGAAGTTTTCCATGTCATATTGAATTAGGTATATTGAATGCGTTATGAAACTTGCGAACATGGCCATGGTTCTGCTGCGATTGATTTCGTATAATTTCATAACTTCCATTTTGAAAGGGTTCCGCGTCACCTGAAGCTGAAAGCTCTCATACTAAAATTCAAAATTACATTCAGCTAGAAAAAAATAAGTTGTGGTTCAAATACATCTTACGGATTCTTCCAGACGCACATCCAAGTCAGTGGCAAACAATGTTCTCTCCTCCAAAAGAACCAACATCTTCTTATGCTCGTCCAGGACAAAAAATATGACGAACATACTGAGCGCGCCATCCAGGTAGTAAACTAACCACCAAGTGTAGCTCAGGATCACAGTTCTGAAGGTCATGTGCATCTCTTCGTAGCCATTTTTGAGAATGCTATAGGTCAGGTAAGCAGTGGCAACCATGGTCATGTAATAACCACCGTAGACCGTGACCCCATGGACGCCAAATACTTGATCCGTTTGGTGCACAATCGACTGCAGCTGGCTCTGAAGCTGGGCTATGCTCTCCAGCCGATCCGCCAGGGAACAACACCTGGTCATGAAAACACCCTGTCGCGGTGGATTCCTGCTCAACTCCTTACTCTCGTCGACCACCTGTCGCAGCTCAGAGTTGAGTAGCTGATACTGCGTCAGAATTAAAAGCATTATCAGGTAATGCTGCGATACGGCCAAGTTCAGAATGGCCGACATCCAGAACTGCAGAGCCATCCCCATGTAGAACTGGGAGTTCACGCGACCCACTGCATCCAAGGTGATTATAACTTGAAGAAGGTCGGTCACAAATCCGGTGAGTAACTTGGCAGATATTTTCCAGCGTGCCATCTCCTTCGGTTGCGGCCTGTTTAAGAACAGACGAAGCACGTTTCTGGTCAAGTCCATTATCTGGCTACGCTGACACCATCTGTTAAGCACCGTAACTAGACCTAAAATCTCAAGATATTTACAAAAAATTGGCTAAGATACCTAGAGCTACCTCCTGAGATCCTCATTCCGGTTATGATAATGACAACATATTCGTGCAGCTGGTTTTCCTTCCCAAAGACCAAATTCATTTCACTTGTAGGCCCGATCCATTGATAGAAATAGAGTATAACCATAAGCGAGTTGATTGCAATGGCGTAGAAAGTACTCGATTTCGCAGTGAAAACCCGGCCTGTTTGCCAGCTAAACTCAAAGTTGCTGGCACCGATCAGGTGACCATAAGAGTAGACCGCCTCCAAAATCCAACTGACCCAGTCGACCATTTCGTATAACTGAACTGAACCACTCGCTGCTGTTTTCCCAGGAATGCTCATTAAGTTATGGTATATACATAGGGCCTTAACGGGTTATATTTAATTAAATTGTCTTTCAGTGATGCCATCAAATCACGTGGAAACTAACTAGGGAATTTGTCTGATCAAGATAAAAAACTCATTACCCTATTCATTGTCGTTTGTACCAATATCGATTTTGTGGTGTAACAATAAAACTGTCATCATTAGGAAATAATATTTAATTGCAGGAAAAATTAAAGTCATTTTCTAAGAATAATTCAGTGTTGCGTTGTGAAGTTAACCAATTACGTATTTTGTGTATAACTACTTTTAATAGTTTTCCATGTCATATTGAATAAGTACAACTGAATGCGTTATTAAATTTCCAAACAGTGCCATGGTAGAGCTGCGAGTGACGCCGTACAATTGCATTGCACCTATTTTTAAAGGGTTCCTAATCAGCTGCAGCTGGAGGCGCTCGAACTGAGAGAAAAATAGTTTTATTTAAATATTCTTATAAATAAGCTGACCACAGCTTACCGATTCCTCGAGGCGAACATCCAAGCCAGGGGCGAATATGGTTCGTTCCTCTAGTAGCTTTATCATTTCACCGTGATCATCGAGGACATATAGCATGATAAACAGATTTAGCATTCCATTCAGATAGTAAAAGAAGCACCAGAATAGGTTCAGAATCATAGTAAACACTGTCATCTGCATGTCCTCGTAGCCGTGTATGAGGATACTGTAGGCCATGTAGACAGTGGATACCGAAGACAAGTAGTATCCGCCGTACACCATTACGCCCTGAAGGCCAAATATATCTTCCAACTGGTTGACAATAGACTGCAGCTGGTTCTGAAGCTTGGCTATATCCTCCAGCTGATCCGCCAGGGAACAACATCTGGTAATAAAAGTTCCCTGTCCCGGAGGATTCCTACTCAACTCCTTAGTTTCTTCGATCACCCGTCTCAGATCGGCATTGAGTAGCTGATATTGGGTCCGCACGAAAAGCATAATCAGGTAATGCTGCGATATGGACAAATTTAGAATGGCCAACATCCAGTACTGCAGGCCCATTCCCAAATAGAACTCCGAGTCCACACGGCCCATTGCATCCAAGGTGATCAGCACTTGAAGAAGGTCGGTCAGAGCCCCGGTAAGGAACTTGGTAAGAATTTTCCAACGAGACATTCTCTTCACTTGCGGCCTAGCAATAAAGACGCGGATCACCTTCCTTGTCAAGTCCATCATCTCGCAGCGCCATTGCCATCTACTCACAAGAGTGACAAGACCTTACCATTAAAAAGGGAAAACATTTGCAGCATAAGAAGTTTATTCAATGCTTTTAACTACCTGCAGCGATCCTCAGACCGGTCATAATGACGATGACGTACTCGTGCAACTTGTTTGCTTTTCCGAAGATCACCACCATCATATTTGTACGCCTAGTCCAGTGGTAAGTACAGGAAATGATAATGACAAAGTTGATCGCGATCGCGTATAGGGTACTCCTTTTGGCCTTAAAAACCCGACCTGTCCGCCAGTCAAACTCGAAGTTGCTTACACCAATCAAGTGGCCATACAAATAGAACATCCCCAATATCCAACTAGCCCAGTCGAGCATTTTAGTAAACTAAAAGTTTCCTGGCCGTTGGGCCTTTAGAACGCGCAATAAATGCATCACGATGACCCAACGCATTGATCTACAGATAAGATTCGATAACAATCGGAGCCCACAAACTTTAACATATATGTACAAACATCCTAGTATATATGCAATATACAATTAGGCTTTTCACAAACCACTATCATTGGATGGTAATGCTTAGCTCGTAAGGATTGGCTGGCAATCAACAAATAATAAATTTGCATTTAATCATGCCGCGATACCAATACAAAGCCATAGTTGACATGGCTTAAAGTCGTGCTATTCTAGACAAGTTTTAATTAACAAATTGAAATATACATTTTAATACTCATTTATATTTAATTTTTTTTTAGCAAAATGCAATCTAAATGTTTATGGAGTTGAGGACATTATGTGGATATGTTTATTACGAGTTCAAGGTCGGATGGAGAAAAAGTAAAGTATTTAATAAAAAAAAACTTGCAAGTATCATTATACGATTATATTCATTAATTTTTTTCACATGTAACACATTCCTTAAACCGATAGTGAATATAAATTGTACGAGTGTTTGTCAATGGATATAACATGCTGAACATAGCTTATAAAGTTAAAGAGTGTGCAAACGAAGAATTCTAGTAGAAAAGGGCATCCGCATTCTTGACCCATGCTCAGTATGTGATTTCTGATCGGCTGGACTCTAAACTGTATATCGAAACAGGTTTGCTGTGGAGGAGAGGTTACAAGAAAGCCGAACCACATAATATTAGAAACCCACCAGATTTTTGACTTTCCAGGCGATGCCATGTCCAAGCTGACTTTCCGTTAAATTGCACAAGTCGACGACGAGGAGTTGCAATCTAAGAAAGGCCTGCCAATCTCGCAGCCACGATAAAATATATAAGAGGTCCAGCAGGCGCCCAAAATCGACCATCTCAGCAGTCGCGACTGCCACTTTTTTGGGGAAGTCCTTTGGCAGTTTTCGTGCCTAATATTAGGCATTCTATGGCACACTAAGCTAGTTTTTACCGTTTTTAGCAGATAAATGTTCCCAGTGATAAATAAATTGCACTTATGTTCGAGTAATTTAAGCTAACTACTATGAAAATCGATGTTGTACCTTGTGTACTCAGCGAAAACCTTTGGCGATAATCTATGAAATAATTACCGTAACAAAACAACAATATTTTTAATGGATTTAGTTCTAAGACATTTCATTTCAAACATTTATTAAAATGAATACTTTTATAAATATAACGGATTATTTAAATAAGGAATTGTCATAATTTTTCAGTAAAAAAGTACGAAAATTTAAAAGTATTCAATGTCATACTGAATTAGCAGTATTGAGTACGTTATAAGAGATCCAAGCACTTCTGATGTAGAACTGCGGGTAATGGTAAATGTGTTGAGTACTTTAATTTTGAATGGGTTCCGTACCAGCTGTAGTTGTAAGTTGTCAAACTGCAATGGAAAAATATTTAAGTCTAATATAAAAAAGTTTGTTGATAAAGCTAAAATAATCTTACAGTTTCCTCTAAACGAACATCCAAGCGTGAGGCAAATAGTGTTCGCTCCTCCAACAGACGTATCATCTTCTTGTGATCGTCTATTAAATTTAGGATATTAAAAAGGTTGAGGACAGCATCCACATAGTAAAAGAAGCACCAACTGAATGACAAGATCATCGATATTAAAGTCATCTCCAGTTTTTCGTGGCCATTTTTGAGGATACTATAGGTGAGGTAGGTGGTAGCTATCGTAACAATCTGGTATCCGCCGTACACCATCAGACCCTGGATCCCAAACACATCATACACCTGGTTCACAATCGACTGGAGTTGACTTTGGAGTTTGGCTATGTTTTCCAGCTGATCCGCTAAAGAACAACATCTGGTCATGAAAGCACCCTTCCGCTGGGGATGGTAACTTAACTTTCTGCTTTCTTCAATCACCTGTTTCAGCTCTGTGTTAAGCAAAGAATAGTAGGCCCGAACGAAAAGAACTAACAGGTAATGGTGCGATGTGGCTATATTCAAAATGGTCGACATCCAAAACTGCAAAACCATTCCTAGAATTTGATAGTCTTTCGCGTAACCCATTGCTTCCCAGATGATTGACATTTGGAGAAAGTCAGTCGTGCAAGCAATGATGAACTTAATGAGAATACCCCGGCGAGACATTCTCATAACCTGTGGTTTTTCCAGAAATAGAGGAATCACCATTCTGGCCAAGCGCATTATCTGGGTTCTCCGGGTCCATCTAACAAGAATGACGGAAATCCCTGAAAAAAGTATTTTTTTAAAGTGGAATTATTATTTTGGAAAAAAATGTTCTATCAATTTTAATTTCAAACCATAAAAATTGTTCAATTTTTTTTTCAAATGCATATTAAATTAAACTTTTTATTAGGGACAAATATCAGGACAATAAATAAGCTACGTTAGCTTAAAAATCCGACCTGCTGCCAGCCTCAATCCAAAAACAATGGCGATAACATATTGGAGCAGCTTGTTTGACTTGCCGATGATCAGGTTATAGTCCATTTTCTTTGTACTTTGGAAAATCAAAAGTAAAAACATAATGCCATTGATGACAATGGCATAGAAGGTACTTCTTCTGGCCGCAAAGACGCGACCAGTCCGCCAGTCGAACTCAAAGTTGCTAACTCCGATTAAATGTCCATAATAGTAGGCTGTCCTTAAAACATAACCGGCCCAGTCGAACATTTTGGCAAACTGAAAGGGCACATAATTTGTCACAAGCACTTCAACAAGCCTAATGTTCTGATTCCAGACACAGATCTACTGATTTGATTGAAATGTCAAATTATTTTTAGGAGTAAGAGAAGGTAGGTAATTGACATTGAATAAAGAGGTATTACTCATTGATTAATATAGCGAAAAATAAAAAAACAAAATGCTGTTCCGATATTTAATGTTAAATAATAAAATGTGGGGCTTTTAAAAAGGGTATGGTTTAAATTGTATTAAACAAAATAATTGGATAATTCTGTTTTAAATTTTTAAAAAGAATAAAAAAAAAAATTTAGTGGATAGTTTTAAAATAAATTGCATGCAACTAAAAATAGGTTTGTAATAAAACTTTTTTAATATGCAACCCTAACATCAGAGCACCCCAAAAAATAGTTGGATACGAAATTTCGCTTTCCCTTTTTGTCGTCATAAATCAAATTGTAGCCGCAATTAAACGTCACACCATGAATCATCGAGTTGGTAGTACAAAAGGGGCAGTTAATGTGTGGGTGAGCGAGGGGCGTGACCGCAGTACGTGTGTTGCACTTCCGTTAGTTATTCATGGTCAATAAGTGTGGCTCACACGGGCAGAAAAACAACAAGCTCACCAAAATGGTTGTTTTTGTTGCCGTCCGGGTTATTGCATTAACCGATGTGTTTATGCTGCAATTTCACGCGGTTTCCCCCACTAATTTTGTCCGTTGCAAGGGGTTCAGTGGCTTCACAACGCCATTGAATAATTTATGCAATCATTTTGGCCGCCCATTATTGCGCATTATCTATTCGATTGTAATTTAGTTGCTTAATTTAATTCCATTTACCAGCAACACTGCCATACAGAGCAATGAAAACATTTTATCTTTATTAAGAAATAAGAAAAATAAGATATAAGAAATATACAAATTTAAAATGATTTCACTTTTTAGAAGTCAACTTCCATTTACAATCCCATTTAAAATAAAATCCATACCCTACTTAGAAGTTAATAACCTAAAATTATTAAAAGGTTTCACTTTTAAGACTATTTGGTTCTCCTCCAACATTTTTCAACTGTTTTCAAAATTGCATATATTTAACTTTCAACACAGTAATTATAAATTTTAAAGTATTCAAAGGGCTGATACTGTGCAGTCGATCGGAGTTACCCGAAATTATCGCTGCCACGTAAGCATGTGCGTGGCACTTTTATCAAATTTACGCTTATTGCATTTTAATTAATTATAAACAGGTAATTATGGTAAACAGACTGGGCTACCGCCGTGCCATAAAACTGGGCCTACAAACATTACCAATTTACGAGCCAAGTGCTTGGCAGTTCCGCTAAAGTGTCGCTCTGGGACGGGTAATTCGTATATAAAATTAATTTAAAACACGCCACAAGCCCTTCGCCATCCCTTGCCCACAAAGCCTATTGCATGGATCTCCTCTGGTTTACTGCAGTTTTTATGCCTAAATGTATCCGTCATAAATTTTTGCACAATGCGCACAAGTGTTGATAATGAGCGTGCAACCGAGTGATTTTGAGGGTAAGAAGTTATTGGGGAAAAGGTAATCACTTGGAGAATAATATTATAATGTGGTCTTAAACATTCTACCATATCAAGTGCTATTGACCCATTTTTATAAGAAATAAAACAAGAAATTTCCCTCGTAAAAAATGTCTTGTTAAGGAATTTAATATTTTTGGATATTGTCTTTTGACTAAATTAATTAAAACGCAACTGGTAACTAATTTAGAAACAGTAAAATAATTCTGATGGACGCACACTTCCATATTCGCCATTGGAAGTTACTGAAAACTTGTATCCCTTTAGATGTGCCATCGAAATTTTCGCCTCTCGATCTTCATGTTTCGTATCAGCTCTAGTTTTGCTGGTAAACTCCGGGCGCAGACGAATCCTTTTCGCGTAGTACCCAAACTTTTCATCTCCGTACTTTTCCAAACTCTCAGCATATACAGACGCCAACTGGGAGTAGTTCTCTTTCTGGGCATCCGAAAACCAAGAGCTGTAAATCTGCCAATCGTTACGAGTTTTCTGAATCTGACTGGCCACAACTCGAAAATGTTTCAGCTGATCCACGAATATGATCTCGCTGTATTCCTTCATCTTGCAAAAGAAATTAAAATAATCACCAAAAATATAAAGTATAACAAATGCTCTTTTCTCTTTTTGTTTGCTATATTTTAAGGTATAATTTGTAGGTCTTGCTACTGAAAATATAAAAAGTGACAGGCAGTAACGCAGTAAAAGTTTGCTATGATTTTAATTCCGAAATTTAATTTTGATTTTTGCTGATGACAACCTTTTTGCATTAACAGCTCACTATAATAAATAAACTGCGAAACAATTTAAAGAAATAAATAATTTGTTGAATAAAACTTTAGTTGAAACTTAAAATTGATTATTAATTACGATTATTTAATTAGGACTTTTTGATTATTAACTTATTTTAGTACAACAATACGCGAACCATTTAAAGAAAATTAATAATTGTCAAATACCCCTTATGTTGAAGCTTAACTTAATATTTAATTATTATTCAATTATTAATTATAATGATATAAATAAATAAAACAATTATAACACAGTACCAGCATGCAACTCTAGCATTTATTGGTATGCTGTGGCTTAAAGCACCCTTTTCCTTTCATTTAATAGTGTCTAACGTTTTTGCTTTGCTTTGCAATTGATTATATTTCAGTTTATTTCAAAGACGCCAAAGGGCTTACAAAACCAAAGCACAAACGGGATGCCAAGCAACACAAATATAGGTAAGAAACCAACCGGAAACGGAAATGAGCTCCTCATTGAATAAAAAGACATTCCCTTTTCCTTGGTTTTTTGGACTTAATTTATTTCTCATTTTCATGTTCAGTTTTACAAACTAACTTGTTTTTTATTTTGTTTGTCAAACATTTGATTTCATAATACTTACAAATAAATGCTAAACTGAAATGTTAACATTGATGAAGGTTAATGAAGGAAGGTTTAGTTTTTTGACTTTGCTAAAACCAACAAGGAAGTTTTATTTTCCTCTCGTGGTTTGGTTTCTGGTTTAGTTATGTTTTCATTGTTTTATTTTTAAATTTACAACACGCACAAGATTTGCTTAAAATTATATGCAGATTATGCTTAGAGAGTTGCCGAGGATTTTGCCTGCTTACATCCTAAGTAAATTTGAGTTCAAACGTCGCTGGCTATGTACAAGAAACATTCATTTTGGTTAAGTTTGAAGGGTTTTCCCCCCGTCAGTCGATCAATGCCAAGCTGTCCGAGATAAATTTGGCCAAGAGCTGCAGCTGTTTACGGGGCATTTGTTGCCAGCGCCCTGCTGCCTTTGGCCCACAATCGAACGGCTTTGTATGCAAATGAGCCTTTGGATTGCATTTCTCACGCCCAGGTGAACCCGGCAGACATGCGATATATGTATCCCCCTCTGTCCCTCGCATGAGTCATGAACTGCTTTTGGCCTTTTGTTTGCTTGTTGGTAACTTTGTTTGGACATGAATGCATTCGATTGCGGTTTGTTGCGCATTTTCGCCTTTTGCATGTCCCCGACAATTTCCACCTTTTTTACTGTTTTGCCATTGCCCCGTTTAGGCGGTAGCATACCTCAGGGAACACTGACTCAGTTTGAGCCAAATTAGCATAAGCCAAAGGATTAATATCATGCATATGGCTAATTTCTCAAGGGGAGAATTTGTTAACTCAGAGAATGACTCAGCTCCAGCTCAATGAGTAAACGTGACAGAATTAAGGAATTCTAAATTCAGATAAAATTTAAAACTATGTGTAAGAATACCCTAAGAAATTGCAAATTACAATGTTTAGGGAAATCGAGTAAAATTTTATTTTGCAACAATTGCATTTTTTAGCAAAATATTTTTGTATTAATGAAATAGTTAAAGCAAAAAACAATTCAGTCATGAATTAGCTATTTTAACTTTATTCTCGAAAGTTCGCCTAGCCATATAAGTGATTTAGGCCAGGCTTACACTGTACAATTATTAATTTACTGGGCTTTTCTTAGCTTTTATGTTCAGCTAAGACTACTAATACATTAAATGATATTTAAAGCCATGAAAAGGCGCATTGGCCGAACACTACCATATTCCGCATTGGAAGTAAGGGATGCCTTATAGGAATTTATATGATCCATAGATATGTGATAGTCCCGTTCCTGACGATCTCTGTTTGAATCGGTATCGATCCTATACTCCTCCCTCAGCCGAATCCGTCTCGCAAAGTAATGGAGCACCGCTCTTCCCAAGATCGACGTGTCTCCCCGATCTGGCTTTCCTCAGTTCTGTAGGGCAATAACTGATCCGTAAATAACACCTCCTCATTTATTTTAATTATTTCGCAATTTAAAATTTCTTTTCTTTATTTTCACGCTTGTTAATGGGTAGACTTATTGTTTTGCAAGTGACTTAAAAAGTGAAATTAAAATATAGGAAGAAGTCTTCAAACGAAAAGCTAACAAAATGTAAATTTCTAGGGATTGTCGATCATTTTTAAAAATATATTTTTTCCTGCTATCGTTGTTTTAAGAACTAAAAATAATGAGTGTATGCTTTTCAATAATGTTTCTGTTTATTAAATACCATATGACTCGAAATTTTGAGGAGAACAAAATCGTGTATCTTCATTATCTAAAAGCAGTAGAAGAGTTGCATTGGCTTAACACTGCCATATTGACCATTTGAAGTAGGGGACGCCTTATAGCCCTTCAAGTGCTCCATAGACATGTGTGACCTTCTCTCCTCCCGATCTCTATATGATTTGGTATTGACCCTGTGTTCTACCCTCAGGCGATTTCTATTCGCATAAAACTCGTAATTTTTGTTGCCGTACTTTTCCAAACACTCCTCGTATATCTTGGAGTACCTCAAATACAGATCCCTTTGGGCAGCCGGAAACCAAGAGCACCGCTCGTCCCAAGTTCGACGAGTCTCCTCGATTTGGCTACCCACAGATCGGTGGTGCAAGAGCTCATTCGTGAATATCACCTGGTCGTATCCCTTCATTATTTTTTGGTAGGTGTGAATTAACTTTTTTTTACGTTTTTCAGATATTTTCTTAATGTGTTAACGAAGTGTTTAGTTTCTGGTTATGCTTCAAATGTGAGTAAATAAGCAATGGGTAATATCCCATACAAAAAAAACTAAAATCTGTTTTCTAGTTTTCCAGTTTTTACAGATCATTAAATTAGATTAAAATGTATTAACCCACAATAGGGAATTACATGATTTAAAACTCTCGTTAAATGATTCGTAAATCCTTTTCATTTATTTCAATAATTTGAAAGTCTGAGCGATAAGAATTATAAAAACGTGGAGGGACCCATCAGTACCTAAATTTACTTTACCAGATTTAATAATTTTATCTCTTTTCAATAAAGATCTTGCAGCTTGGCACTGATTGAACTGATTATATTCAGATACATACACACACTTAGATCGATATTTTGCCAAATTCTAAAGTTTTTAACTTGTGCTATCTTGGCGTCTTCTCAGGCTATTTACAGGCTTCTGATCAAAAGTTCTTACATATAATATTTCTCTTTGAGGAATTTTTGGAATGCAAATGTAAGTTTTGCCTTATCTTAGCTTAGCTTACTTTCTGCCTGGTATTTTGTTAATTATGATTTGTATATTTTTTTTCAGTTTATAATATTTAGAGTTTTTGCTTTACAATTTTCTTACACTTGCTTAGACTCTTATGTTAATGAAAAGTTTGGTTGGGATAGGATTTAGACTTGATTTTGTATGTAGATCAAAGTGCAAATATGTTATTTTACAATCGAAATGTTTTGTTGCTTTTGATATGCCCAAAGAGGGTAGACAATGTGAAAAGGAAGGACAAAATTAGACAAAATTGTTTGACTCTAAATAATATCGTACACGGTTTTACTTCCTTTCGCTTTCAAAATGAAGAAAATATCACAAAAGACCAACGAATGTTTTGCCTAAATAACGATATCTTAACACTACAGACAATTGCCTAATGTTATAAGTAAATATGTACAGTTGCTTAGCCTCTGCTTAAATGCTCGCGTTGAGTAGTTACCATTTTGATATTTCAGTATAATATCTGACTCTTAATTGGGGTCTCGTTCCCCATTTTCATGCACACATACATCTATTAAATTTCGCATTTACCCAAAGGTTATGATATAAATAATTCCTTTGGTTTTTGTCTCAAAGTTTTTGGCATAGGATATGTCTGCTTTTTGTGAATGGCTGTGCTAGTTTAAGAGCTGAAGTTTTGAAAGTCCTTATTCTTGGAATAGTTAACTATTTCGGGGCCAGGTCCAATCCTGAAACAGCAGCAGCAGGAAAAGTGGAGGCAATAATGCCACTAGGCAAGAAGGAAGTTTCGAAGTGGCGGCGGCTGGAAAAAAGGTTTTATTAGTTTGCATTTTTTAAAAAGAAACAAAATATTTATTAAAGGCTTATACCAATCGTGCTTGACTTGGCCGCCACCGTCTCACGAGATTCCAAGGCCGGAGCCCGCTGCTGGCGATCGCTTTCCACACTCTCCTCGTTGCTCTGCAGATATAGTGAACTGATCTTGGCCACGCACTAAGGGAATATACCACAAAGTCAATTAAAGAATTACTTTTTAATTAAATTTCTTATTCCAACCCACCTTCAACTTCATGTCGCCGTGCTTGAAGTGGTAAGCCCTCACCCGGAACTCCAATCCCAGACGGGCCATTTCCAGTCCATCCCGATTGACCACCACCTTGTCGTACTGCCGCAGGTGGGTCTTCTGCACCGGCTCCCCGTTAATTAGCCAGCTCAGGTGACAGACGGGCTTGGACGGCGACGAGGTGCAATTTACCCGGACGGTGTCTCCAATTTGGTAGCGCGGCTGCCCACCGGTTATCTTCGGTCCGTGGTTGGGAGTGACTGAAAGGGATAATATCAATTTAATAAATAGTTGATATGCTTCTACTCAAAAAATAGGAATTAAGAAACATTTTATTTTATTTAATTTCTTCAGTTTTATAAACAGTCATAAAGCTTTTATTTATTTTTATAACTATTTCAATACATTTCCAGGGCCAGCTAAGTTCTTTTGTACTTCAATTAAGTTTCCCTGAAATCCTCTCATTCCCCTGCTTACTTAGAAGGGCCATAGCTTTAGCTTGGTCCTCTGGCCATTCCCTCATTTGTAGTCTCACCCGAGCTTAGTTATTTAATTTTAATGAGCCGGGGAAATTGAATATTTCCTGGAAGAGAACTAGCTCGCTCTCTACTTTTACACCACATTTTCCCATCCTCCTGGCTGTTTTATTATTTTATATGCAGCATCGCTTATTTGGCCCACTGCCCCATAAGTAAAACAAGAAATGTGCGGGGGGAAAGGCAGTTTCCTCATGAAGGCTGGCCAAGCATTTCCAAGATTTATGTGGAGATTTTCGCCAGGCGGTGGGTGGATGTGAAAATGGGGGCAGAAGGTGGAGCACAGAACACAAGAAATTGAGAGAAAGAACTTTCGTTTTGGGCATACGAAATGCTTATTCAAAGTTTATTTGGCCATGTGAGCGTGGGTTTGTCCTGCAATGCTCTTCTCTGTGGGTGTTTTTCTTTTAGCACATGTAAACGTAATTGTGAGTGTGGGCTTTTTTCGAATGGGTGGGTTTTTGGGGGAAAGCCACTGGAGGGCATCTGGTCATCACCCATTACCAACGCCGTTGGGCATACTTTCCAAGAAGAACGATGATAAATTATAAATCTTTTAATGGTATAAGAAGAAGAAAAATTTAAGATTAGCTTGAAAATATTTGTTTGTTAAATTACAACGTATAATATTTAATTTAGGCTCATACATTGTACAAACTACATTTTATTAACACACCTGATATTAATTTATTGTAAACTGAAAAACATTTATTTTTCTCCAAGCCAAAGTTTAAATTAAATTAAAATAAAAAGTTAAATTTAATTATTCATTTTATTTTCATTCAAAAAATAGTGAATTTCACTAAAGTTTTATATTTTTTTCTTAGCCAAAGCAATTATAAATTAAATAGAATAACTTTCTGAAAATATTAAAGCTTGTTCTCCCTTTTCTTCCATCTCTATTGTTTTCAATGGCTCAATCCTTCCACGTTTTATCCTTCTCCACACAATGTGTACAGAAATAAAAACCAAGTCAAGTGGGAACAGAACCAGAACCAGGACTCCTCCTCAGGCGCTGCCCATGTCCCCTATATCTCCTACCCTCCACCATCCTCATCCAACTCGAGAGTTTTCTGTATGCATTAAAAATATTCGTTCTTGCCAAAACCGAAAAAAATTGAGAAGGGAAATCTTCTTTCTCATAACATTGCGGCTTCTGTGTAGGTGTGTGTGCCATAAAATAAAATTAATTTTTAATGGTTTTCAAAAAATTAATTTTCCTTAGAAGTCGTTGTGTGTTTTTGTTGTGGCTTTTGGTCAGTTCGGATGTGGATTCAGTGAAATCCAGATTTTGCACTCGGAAAATAATTTAATATATGATTTGTTAACAGTTTTGATTTATTAATAAACTGCTTATGTAAAACATTTAACATTTTTCCTTTATATATTATTTTTAAACTAAACGAAATATGTATAAAAAAATTGAATAGAACCTACAAACTTGAGTATAATTTTTTTGAAAGATATATATTTTTGGCCGAGTGTAAGAGTCCTGGGCAGGTTGCCCTTTTCCGGGATTGCATATTTCTCTCCCGCTTGCTTATTTGTAATTTATAAAGTGAAGTTTACTTTGCTTTGGTTCTCGTCTCTCTCATATAAACTTAATTTGCTCCATGCAACTGACTTTCTAGGTGGAAAGGAGTGAAAGCTGGAACAGAGGGTCACACAAAGGCCAACCATGGCGCAATCTAAAAATCCAACTTGGAGAAATGCATTTTTGATAAACGCATTTGTAGAGATTGAAAATATGATTTCTTGTTTTCGTTTTTTGTTGCTATTCTAAATTTCATTTGTTCAAACAATCCTCAAACAATCCTCCGAATGTTTACAGTCGCTAAAAAAAGAATCAACAGATAAGATCAAATAATAAAGTTTGAGTAATTCATCAAAAAATAAAGAAATATCTTTAAAGTAACAAAACGCATTACAAACTATTAAACTGTTAAAATGTTAAAGTCTTATGGATCATTTCTCCTTAAACGTTCTTTGTTTGCCAAAAGAAAAATTAATGGACGACCAATTAAATTTAACTTTATCCGGGCCTGATATTTATTGCCCCGAAATACATTTCCTGCCAAGACCCAAAGCCTTTGTCTTAACCCCCTGCTCACCTGCTTGGTATAGGGTTATGTTCGGATAATTGTTTATATATACTAAATGAGCATTTTTTAAGTCAACGCCATATTTTATAAATTTTATTTTGCGGCATAAATCTAGTGAGAGAAAGCCAGACAAGGGAAGGGGCTCATGGAGCAAAAGGGAAACGTATGTCTGTATGAGTTGGCAATTTATTTTGGCCAGACTTAGCACGCAACGATAGAGGACATACAAAAGAAGGAGAGACAACAGGGTCTGAATTAAGCCAGATGAGGGGAATAATGTGGAGATGGGGAGAAAAACCCGCAGGTTACAGGACCTGCAATAAGCCGAAAACTAAAAGCAAAAAGGGAAATGGCCGAATGTCGAATAGCCACATGCTTCAAGTATATTTTCGGCATTTTCCTATGACTAAGCAGTTTCTGTTGCCGAAAAGAGTGGGCGGTGGCGAAAAATGAAGGAGAGGACACCTTTTGTGCAGTAGCCAGAAAATAAAAAAACAAGTAAAAAAAATGTCTGAAGCACTTTCCAGCAGCAACAATAAGTACCTAGAATTGTAGCAGGTTACAACACGAGAGGACTCTAGATTTATAGTATAGATTTATATAGTATATTGGAAAATATTTTTCAAAGAAACATTTTTTAACATTAAATTAAGAAATGTTTTGAAATTTCACATGATAAACAAAATAATGCACGCATCGATTGTGATGAATATTTATTTAAAAGTCATCGTCTTCATATCGAGTCCATTACAAAATATATGCAAAAGTATGCACTCAGAACATACACAGTGAACATATAGGGTATATATATATTCAAAACAACTACAGTAAGCACTGAAAGTGGGCGTCTGTCTATCTAGGTTTTTTCGAGTCTTTCCTACTCAGTTGGTGGTCTTCTTTTAATACGCTGCGGTATATTTTTTGTTGCCACCCAACCGTCCCCCTAAAAGCGCCTTCCCTTCTTCGCTCGAAGCGCACTTTGCAGCTTCTTCTGAGCAGGTGATAAGCCAGGTCAGGTGGCTGGGATTTTGGCAATGAGGCTGATGAGGGGTGGTATATGGCAGCACCCTTAGGCAGTCACCTGTTCTATTTGCGAAGAGCCTATAGCTTTCGGGGGTGTGTGTCGAAGTGTGGGTTATGCACATGTTGAGCTCTTTGCTAAAGTGTTTTTTTCCACCTTCCATATTTTTTTGGTATTTCTTTGTCGTTATCTAAAATATTTTAATAAATATTTTCAGACATAATTTACACTTCGTTATATGAAATTTATTCAACTCAATTGCTGGTGACAGTGGTTTGGTATAAGAAAAAATGTTAATATATGCAATAAAATTATGTAAAGCAGCCATTTGAGTGCAAGAGATATTATAGACGTCTTTTTTGTTATTTAGGGAGTTTCTTATTTTTCTACCATGGTCTTTAAGACTCCCTTGTTATATTTTCATGTTTTTTTCTCAACCATAGAAACCTGAAGAGAAAATACTAAATATTAAAACTACATTGAAGAAACACATTAAACTGTGATAAATAGCAAGAGTATGATAAAGTGTAAAATCGCGACAGTTTCCCTCACCAGTGGTGCACTCGAAAACAGCTCCAGTTGCCACTCGACTTCTCCTTTTCACCTCCCATGTCCCAATGACTTTATGCTCCGTTTTACTCCGACCATTCCCATCCCCTTGGAGTCTCGTTACCCCGTGACATTCCCGGTTTGTTATCCTTAATTTTGCATATGGCAACGATTTTTAATGTACGATACGAGACCTTTCTCCCTTGCCTTCGGATCCTTCGGTTCAGTTGCGGCATGTTTGAGTTAAGACAACATTACAGTTACCGTTATTTCCGCGGCCCTTCTGCGGTATCCTCATCTGCATCGGACTCTCCACTGCCACAATAAGAGTATGTGCTTGTGTATACAGAGGGAAAAATTATTCGAACCGATCTTAAATCAGATCCCTAACTGGCAAAAATCATAATATAAATCATACTGAAGGGCAATTTTAAAAATTACTTCCTGTGCTAAAAAAAAAAAAAACTAAAAAGACAGAGTTTCAGAAAACAGAAGGAAAGGGCCTGCGAAGTATATAAATTAAATCTGATTCTTAAGCTTTAGATCACTTAAATATGTCTATTTAAGATACTTTTTTAGGTACTGCCTTTTACTTACACAATGTTTGCATGAATAGAGTATGTAATTGTTTTATTTAAATTTTCGTATATTCATTCTAAAAGCTTCAATAACTTGCTATTGTTTTCTTTAATTTTTCATTTAAACTTTCGCAAGCTTGGCTGACCTGAAAACAACCCAATTTCGATCAGTGTATCTGCTGCGTATCGCGCGTTGTTTTATAATTAATGAGCACGCAAGGCTCTCAACGCTTTGCACATGTCCTGCTCTCTCTCTCTCTCTGCCCGATTTCTGGGTGTCTCTCCGGGTCCTCATCCTGTTCCTGAATTTATGGTTAAGTGCACTTTAAAGGACAAACACATATATAACTCAGTTTTCCCGCTGAGTTTCTTCTCCTCCTATCTCTTTTTTATTTATTTTTTTCACCATCATTTTCTCGGACACACTCATATACACAGACGTATAATGTGATCGCTTATCGATTTTACAATATAAAAAAGCAATTGCCTGCATAAAGGTCCTGAAACAGGACCCCTCACTAACAATCGCAAGCAACCTCCCACTGGCAAGCAAAGTTAAATGTGATTTTTATGAGCTATGAGCGAAGTTTGGTGCCGGAGAAGGCTGGGGGCGGCATTTTGCCATAATATTTATTGTTGCTCCTTGGCCTGGTCACACTAATGAGCTGTAAATTATCCAAAACGAGGCCAAAGGCAAGGCGCTCATTAAAGCTTAGTGCTCCCAATCGGGGGCACACATTAACACACTTTGAAATAACCTAATTCTTAGAAGTATGCTAGCAAGGACTTAAAAACTAAGCCCACTTATAATACTAAAATAATAAATCCAAATATTTTCAAATTAAAATAACCTTAAGCAATTATTTATATTGGGTGTATTTTAACATATTAAAATGCTTATGTGGGTAGTCAAGTAAAGTATTACAGATTTGTAAACAAAATTTTAAAATAAATCAGAGCCCGTAGTTCAAAACCGCGAAAATTCTTACTTCAAGTCATTCCGTCATTCGAAATGTTGCCGCTGACATTTTACGATCGCTAAATTAACATTGGCAAACTCCCATTGGGAACAATCGGCTTTCACTAGAGCATATTTTATGGTTCACTTGCATTAGCAGGACGAAGGTCCCAGTCCCCAAACTCTTACGAGAACCCTCTTTCCTCTTTCTCTGGCACTGCTGACACAGTTGTTGATGATGAGGTTTCTTGCTACTCCACTCGGCTACCATGTCACCACTTCTTGCTTCGATTTGCAATGCCCACAGTTCGTTTAGATAACAGAGAATACTCTACTGTAGAACAAAATCACACATTTGAGTCTGGTTTCTCGTATTCATGATAAGCTAAAAGTAGACATTTTAGTTTAAAACTTATTTTTAACAAATCACGAAGAAATCGCCATTAGTTGATTTTAATAGAAAGATACATATATATTTGTATATATTTTATAAACAACACTAACTGTTATGGTTTCTATATAGAAATCATGAATTGATCAATAAAACATAAAAGTCTGGTAGTTCGTTTCAGATATTAAATAACAAGGGTCTTTGAATATCCAATGACCACTGTAGCTTCCAAATGCTTGTCCTTTCATTCCCTTTTTCCCCCAAACTTTTTCTGGTTTTTTCTTTGCGACTTTGGTTCGAATATCGTTCAATTTGACTGCCCAGACACATTGTTTAATATGCAAAACCATTTCCCATTTCCCCGACATTCCAATGCGTCTTCGGGCAAAAGGACCGAAGTGGGCGGGATCGGGGAGTGGGAGTGAGCTAAGGGAATGGCCAAAAGGAAAATCAGCATGAAATGTGCTTAGTGCGTGGGCGAGGGGCGTGGCCGCCTTTCTTGGCGATGTCCTGCTCCTTGTTGGCATAAGTTAATGCAGGTTTCTGTCACGGGGCCTGCGGCTTCCACTGATGATGTCGGTGGTTCGATTTGCCCCTGTGGTTCTTCGTTGTTCCCAGGGGGGATTCCCCTGCTTGGCGACTGCTGCGGCTGCTGCTGGTGCTGCACATATTGATAACCGCTTGATTCTTTTATGAGTTTATAAATTTGTGATTAACTTCAGGCACAATCGGCAAACTTGATTGGGTTTCGTGAAAGCTTCCATGAAATGTGGGTGTTATAGAAAAAAAGGAGCGAGGGCTTTGAGAAAGTAATAAACTTTGTGCACATGGAAAAAAACCTATCTAAAATTTATTTTACATTAGTCTTTTGCTCAAGAAATATAACATTCCAAGTAAAAAAAATTTTGTGAAACTGTTTTGGTTTGGTTCAACATAATTTAAATTTCGTGATTTATTTTTTACACAATAATAAAAATTTATAAGCTATTTTTATATGTTTAGCGTATCTGGGAATGCCTTAAGCCGTCCTATTCAGATGCTATTTTCCAACGAACGCTCCCCAGATTTATGTAAATGGTGAGAGGACAACGATTTTTTTTGCTTCACCAGATGGCGCCTTTGTCTTAGCCCAGTTTTTTTCCACTTGAAAGTCGGACATGAAAACATAATTTTACTTCAAAATTGCAATGACAGTGGCAGCCGGGCCACGCCCACCCTAGCCGACGACTACGCCCCTTCACTGTACACATATGTGCGCCTTTTGTTGGCAACGCAGCGCAGACGTCGACTGCGACTGCGAAAATTCCATTTCAATTGTTTGCTTAGATTATGCAGTTGTATTAAGAGTGGGGTGGCACACAAAAAAGAAGTAGTACAATGTTGAGTCTCCGGTTGCCAAGGCGAAACGCAAAGAAAGGCGAAAAAATCCGAGCGGAGGATGAAATCCTTTAAAAAGCAGCGAACAAGTGGAAAGCGAGCGAGTTTACAAGGAGCCAGGGAGTTGAGACGACTCGACAATGCCATTTGCAACGCATTGCCATGTAGCATGAATTCCATTTACGAACTGCGTCTGAAACTGGAGATTGGCGACTGGCGACCGGAGACCGGAGACCTGCAACCTCGACCAGGTGGTCCCCGTGAAAGAGCCCCAAAGCAAACACCATCAGGATATGCACCACCTGCGGAAAGCGGGCGCCTTAAATTGTCGCCCGCCTTCAGTTGCAGTCGAGTAAAGAGCAAGGAAACTCAAGGAATTTCATTTCATTAAGATGATTAATGTGGTCTCAAGAGTGTGGGATTAAACCCTCAAATTTAGACGGTGCAAATTTAATATTTGAAAAATTTAATCTAAAATACCAAGTCTATTGAAACAATGAAGATAACCCTCTTTAAAAAAATAAAGTTGTACATACTTGTCGTTTTTATCAGTTAAAAATAACTGTTTAATGGTAGTTATAAAATTATGTTTCGAGATTTTTTTTTTAAATAGTAAAATTAAAAAAAATAATCTGTGCTTTTGACATTCGGAATAAAGAATGATAGCGCAATAATAAATTAATATTAATACGAGCTTCTTAATAACTCCTTTTTTGACAATTCTTTTCTTAAAGAGCTTACAATATATTTTCAATTTTTGCCCACCTTTAAGGACCCCTAAATTTTCGTTTCAATTTAAAGATATATCTCTCTTGTCACTCTGTAGGCCGCCTTAGCATGCCATTCTCTGCACGAAAAGGGGAATCCCTATGTAGCACGTGTTTTTGTATGAAGGGAAACCCATCAAAGACTCCTCGACAGAGAGCTGACAACCTGCATGCAATTTACATTGAGCAACCTCAGATTTCAGATGCCTGCATGCGTTCTTAAATGGTTTTGCCTGGATTCGAGTTTTTCAGCACGGTGACAGGAGCCAGAGTCCTTGGCTGTTATCCTTTAACTTGCCGCTGTCAATCCCCTTTCGGCTGCCTTTCGGCTCCACTTTTGATCCACTCCCAGCAATTATGTTGCACATTCCGGATGCTGAGTTCTGCATTCGGGCGCTCCAGCAACTTCAGATGCCCCATCACTTGCCACTGTCATTCACAACATTGTTGGCTGCCCAGCACTATTAGCATTTTAATTAAATTCTCTGCTGTCGCCTGTTGTCCAAGTGCCTCGCTTTCAGTATACGTCCCTCACTCAGCCCACATTTATCCTTCGCCCTTATGTTAAACTCACCCACAACGGTCATGGTCTCCGACTCGGATACGGTGTTGAATGCGGGCGCCTCGCCGGACACCTCGCACCGATATACTCCGGAACTCTGCAAAGTAACGCGGCGCAGGAGGATCTGGGTGTCCGAGGAGTTACGCAGCTGTGGACGAAAAATAATATGGAATTATTGAGTGTTTTATTGCCCTTTTACAGAAATATTTGGGGATTCAGTTAAAATACACAACTCTTTGTTAATTGAAATGATGCATTTTTTAACAAGGCCCCATTTTAAAGTTAAAGGACAAATAAAACAAAGCAGCAGTCTATGTTTTAGGAGTAAAGTAAAGTAAAAAAAATTGGTATGGATAAATCAGGTCTTTTCTTAACTTAAATTAATTTAATATTGTTTGTCACTATTAATGTTTTAATATTGTGTTCTAATTTTAAATTTTAATTGGAAATATTGCTTATTATAACTAGCTTTATTTGCTAGTTAAATTTAAATTACAAAAAGAATTTTTATATGTCCCGCATTTCTTTCTCTTCTTTTAAAACTAAAGAAACCAATCAAGATAAATTGCGTGGCAATGAATCGACATAAAATCAAAGGCAATTAGAGTTGAAGATTTTTCTATGGGTGATTTTTCACATTCACAAATTCAACGCAAAATGAAGATTGATGATGGGAAGGGCAGTTTATTATTAGTTTAGCCACACTGTAGGCGGAAAATTTAATTTTCTCAAGGGTCTGCGACCAGGAGAAACCAGAAAACGGAAAGCAAAAGTCATAAACCAAAAAGTCGTAAGAGCCGGAACCGAAAAAGCAAACAAGCAAATGAAAATGAAATATCTAGAAACAATCGCAACAGAGTCTGAATAAAAGATGGAAGATACGCATGTGAATGCGGTATGTTGTAAAAGTCACTCGTATAGTTTTCCCTTTTTTCATTTTCCCTGGGCAACAATTGCAGTCAAGTCAAGTCCTTTAAGTTGCACTTTTATTATCGCACAACGCACACACACACACCCACACACACACATATGCGGTAAGAAAGTTTCATTTGATTCGAGCAAATTTTTATGAAAATTCTTTGCTCTCGCTTTGTGTTTTCCTCTGGCCACATTTCACCCACTCCCTTTCTCCGGCGTAAACAATCACAAAAGTCACGTTCAACATTATTTTTGGTTTGTTGCTTGTTTTCGGCTGTCGCCACCCCCTTAACCCTTGGCTGCCCCTGCGGTCCCATACAATGACTGTGGACTGGCTTTTGTTTGTTGCCTTCTTGGCAGTACTTAAGCCGATTCTTCTTCTCATTCTGCAGCTGCGTCCTCGTCTTTTTGCCAATTCTTTCGGCACGCTCAAGTTGTCAGCACCCTCCTTAAAAATTTAGCTAAGGGGGTCGTTTTTCTGGGCTGCAACGCGGGTTGAAGAAAGCTGTGGCTAGAATGGTTGTGCTCGCCAAAAAACCAAATCTAACCGCAATTCAAATTGCAGTCTCCCTTTATTGCTTTCTCGTCGCCGCCTTAACCCCCTACTGCCCGAAACATGCGCGGCCATTTCGCTCATGACTGCATATTGAAGTTGTTATTTGTAATTCCAAATTCGGTTTGGCTTGAAAGAATCAGAGCTCTAACCTTGTTTATCTTGCTGTGATTGCAGTGGCCAAAAAGTAAAAGGGAGCCACATTCCACAGAAGAACAACGGATAACAAAGGACGTCAACAATGAAGAAAAATTCCATTCAGGCTTTAAGTGACTTTTAAAAGGCTTCAAAAACTCATAGTTTCCACTACAAATAATGGCAATTACACGCTCGCATTAAGAAACGGTCTGCAACCAAAATTCCTCAATTAAATTAAGTAATTCCCTTTTCAGTGCAACTTGCAAACCTCTCATGAATTTATTCTCACTTTATCATGCTTTCCCCAGGCATATCATACTTTCCCCAGTCATACCACACATCCGTAAACCCCGAAGAATCCGTCTTTTGTTCTAATCATTTCCCTCCACTCAACTCGGCCTTCAACCCTTTTCGAGAGAACGGCATCCAAATGCAGACATTGAAACCAAACGAAAATTATGCCGCATTACGCATTATGCTTCCACTAAAGAAGCCTCCTTTGGCCAGAGTTTTTCTGTTCTCTTGCTACCCCATTTCCTTGGCTTTTCCTGCTTTTCCCCTTTCCAGCCGCTTGGCCACACGCACACAGGCCATAAAACACGCTGGCACATTGCTCATACGCCACGTTAGCCCCGACAATTGACGGGATTTACTTTGCTTGGCACGAAGAGAAAAAATGAATTTTTTGTGTAAAATTTACAATTTGCAATGACTTAAAAGAATATTGTTTAAAAAATATAAAACACATTTATAGTTTTTAAAATGATGATAGAGCGCTTATTATTGGAAATAATAACATTTAACATTTTTAAATTAAAATAATGGAAGCATTTATCATTTTTATAAGTGTTGATTTGTTTGACTATAGCCAGAAAAATAGTACATTTTCCACAGTGCAGGGCTTACTTTGTCTGGCTTTGCTTTGACTGCCCACCGTACAAAGTAGACGCACTTAAGTGCTTTTGGCAAATTATTATTATTAGAGCGGCTCGAAGTTAAGAGGGCAAGCAGAGGGATATCAACTTAGTCTGGGATATTGACAGCTTTAAGTGATTTCCGTTAACCTTTTCGATCGCCGGGCAAGCAAACCAACACGTGACCTTAGCTAAACAAGAGGGGAAGAGCAATGCAGTGCTGGCGGGGCGGTGCGGAAAAACAACCCACACAGACACACATTTTTATGGGCAACAAAGGGAGGTTACATCCACATTAAATTAAAGTTAAATGGCAAAACTACGTGGCAGCAATTTTCATTCCAGCGACGACGTAATCAGCAACAAGCTGACTTAAAAGAGGGGGAGTGGAACTGGGGAAAAAGAGCACTAAGGGTTTCCCTCGCCTTTGTGGCAATTACATGTTTTAAAATAATCATTATGATCGGGTCGTAACACTAAATCCAAAGCAACATCCCCCACTTACCATGCAATCAGCACCATAAATTGTAATAAAATTCTAAATTAAATTTTGTGCTTCCTTTTCATTCTTTTTTTTAGTAAGCAACACCTGTTGCGGTTTTTAAATAACACTGAGAGAAATAATTTAACATATTGGTTAACTATATAATGTAAAGGAGCTTAGTTTTCATGTTTGGATTTGGAAGATAATTTCTTTGAAAACAACAATTGGATAGAACTAAAAAAGATAATTAGACGAAATTTTCTTAGTCCGTTTTGTTTAGCCGTTTTAAAAACGTCTAGTTGCTACATTTTAGAAGCGATTTATAAGTTTTTCTAAATTAAAACGATCTAGCAGTAGCTTAAAAATGGTTTTAAGAACCCATTTTGGGGAACTTACGTCGATGTTGACGCCCGGCAGTGGGAACACCTCTCCGGGGGGCTTGTTGCGTGGCAGATAGCGGTAGATCTCGTTGCCGTCCTTATACCATTTCACCGAGTACAAGGACTCCCCGTCGAGGGCGTAACGACAACCCAGGGTGGCGCTCTTCAGGCGCATTATGTGATTGGGTATCTTCACTTCGGTCATTGTCAGCGAACTGGTAATGTCTGCAATTAGCGTGGGAAAAGAAACAGAAAGGGTTGTTAGTGTGGCGAAATTATTTTTAATGGAATTCCCCTGGCAATGCCATTCCCATTTCCATTTCCATTGCAACAGCCGCAAAGTTACACCCTTAATTCGTATGCCCTAACCCACATTCATATTTCAGCTGTTATGATTCCAGATGGTCATATTTTCCCACCCAAATGGCCAGAAAGCAAACACAAAAAGCCTTTTCGGCCATGTCACATGAATTTTGACTTGTCCTGCTGGACTCCGGCTTTTAGATCCCGGGAAATCCAGTGCACGTCACTGCAGTCCACAATTCACGTGTAAGGCGAAACAAAAATACATGCGCAAAAAACTCAAAGCTTTGAGGAAAAAACATTAGGCTCAACCAGGTGACTTGTTGATACTCTGGCAATACCATTTACTCCCTTTTTTCCATTATGCATTAAATATGAAAGTAATTGTCATAATCAGTTCCATTAAGATAATGATTATAATGATTAGGTTACTGCACTAGAGTTCTAATTAAAATTCTATGAAGTTGTGGTAGAAATAAAAGATGAAACCCGCTTGATTACAAAATGAAATCATCATAATGTTTTTCAATTAGTTACTTCAACATTGCATTATTTAATTATGAATCAAACTTAGATATAAAATAAATCTTCATTAAGGTTTCCATACATTATTTTTATGGTTGCCTAATGATTTATATGCTGTTATATAGAAAGTATACTTTCAATAACATTTCCAACCCAAAAATTGGCATACCCCAAAGGCAATTCATACCCAAACAGATCCCAAAAGCGTTTAAATCACAAACAGCAAAACCAGGCACATATCCCCATATTTGCCTTGCGCGACATTTTGGCGGGTTTTCGGCCAGTCCCAGGAGGAATAACGGTAACCGTAACAGTGGCCAGGACAGTAACCGTTATATTGGCACTGGTGTGGGTGGGGTTGCACCCACTTATTTAATATACCGCTACACTTTTCATTTTTCCAAACGTCAAACGTGAAAAAGTGAGTTCGTTTTGTGGGAAAGCGGGAAAAAACAAACACTCACGCACACGCCTACAGATACTCGCACTCACACAGACGACATCTCAGACGAATATGCATGTGTGTGAGTGTTTTGTATGTATGTATGTGTGTGGTGTAACGTGCAGCGCCGCCATTGAATTTATCACATTCACATGCAAATTGCGCCAAACGACCTTATTATGCAAATTGCCAACTGCAAATGGAGAACGAAATTGATTTTCCTGCATTTGCTGCTCCAAAAACAACAACAGCACGAATAAGGAAGCGAAGGGAAAGTAAAGGAAAGGAAAGGGACTCATGCACAAAGAGCTAGAGGTACAGTGGTTACCTGATAAGGAAAATGAATTACTACACGGAAATGTGTAACTTACACGATCAGTTAAATTGGCGAATTTAAGAGACCAGTAAATGCAAATTTAAGTAAAGAAATGGCGGTTTTATAGAAAATGGAACTGACGAATTTACACATTCAACTTGTGGGTTCTAATTCTTTAACCATTATACGAAAGTTAATCTGGAATCACCAGAAAGAGGCATATGGTTTTCAACTCTAATTTTCTTTCTCTTTCGATAAAATAATCTTTAATAATCTTTAAGGTGTCATTTAACACGTCGGCATTTTGTTTTTAAAAAAGATTTTTGTAGCTTGCAATATATTTTTTTTTGCTGTACATATTTCTTTAGAGGCTTATGATTTTACTATTGTAGAACCAGTGTTACATTTTCTCTTTGATAGGAAGTGGGAGATTGGTGTTACAGGTGCAGAGAGAGCATATCCTGTTGTCTATAGCATCGTTCAACAGTTTTGCGACACTCAGCAAGCCACGTTTATATGACAACTAGCAGCCGTGGAACCGCCAGCAAATAGACAGAGAACCTCACCTTAAGTGGGGAAAGAAATGGGGCAGCGTGTGTGGTTTATACAGCGACAAATGGCGAATATATTGAGCTGTCACACGCCCAACTCAAAAACAGAAGCCGGAGGTCATGCACACACTGGCACAGTCGCCTCTGTAATATTGAACAATGTGCATACAAATAAAGGACTTGACAACATAGTACTCTAAAAAAAGTATAGTTATCGAAAAAAATTAAAAGGTCAACATTTCTATACTAAATGTAATTGTTAAAATATGTTTGCAAAGGAATGGTACACTGTAGCGTATGCGTAATATATAAAAAACGAGTCCAGACAGGCTTTTAATTATAGTGCTTAAAAAATTATATATAAGAATGGGTTTAAGCTCATAAAAATTGACGCTTAAAAAACACTCAATATTCAATTTCCAATTGTTTCAGTATTAAAATCATTCATGACTAATTGCTCCAAAAAAGAAACTCAGATACATTACATTTTAAGCAACTAAACTAACTAAATGCAATTTTCAAAAATTGTGCTGTGTGATTAATTATTTTAGTTTTTAAAGTATGTTGTATGTTCTTTCAGTAATTGAATTTTAAAAGCCCAATGCTAATTCGAAACTAATTGGAGCGTTTTCTCCAAGTGCATAGAGCAGGGTCAGAAAGAGACAAAAGGAAGGGGAAAGGTAAAGAGAAAAGCGGATTCGCAATCGGAATCAAAATCGCAGTCGCGCGTCTTCAATAAAAAATACGTCGAATGCTTTCAGCCTGGTTTTATCCACGTGTGTTTGTATGTGTGTCGATTGGCCTGTGTTAGTGTTTGCGCATGTGTGTGTATGTTTGTCTGTCGGTGGCAGACAATCGGCATAAAAAAGAAGAAGAGACAGCGATGGCAGCCACAAAATGAGTTAGTTGTTTGCCTTTTTGCTGTTCCACAAACTCACACAAAAGCACACATGCAGTCCGCTTTTTTGGGCTCGAATATTTTATAGCCCCAAATACGAATCAGCGGCAACAACACCAAACATCATGCATTATAAATTCATTTCCGTGTCGGAATATTTTTGTTGGCCCAACAGAAGAGAAAGGCAAACAAATGGAGTTGGTGGTGCAATAAAATGTGCTAATAAGCTAAGGATTTGTGTCAGTGTACGAGGAGAGAAAGGAGCCTGCCGTTTACAATTTTTGTGTTTCAGAATCTGTAAAAAAGAGTCATCCAGTATAAAGATTAAATTGTGCAAAGGGAAAGGAGTTTTTTAATTCATAAATAAATATGTAATTTTCTGTTAATAGTTTATTTCTTTCTTCTTTAAACCATTTGATATAATCTACTTTACAAAATATTTTTTGGAAAGTTTCTTTTTATTCTGAATATTTGAAGGACTCTTTATAGACTTCTTAGTTATAAACCATGGGATTTTCTCCAGAACCAATTAACACTGTATGTACAATGGCTTAGTGAGAATTTAAGTTTAAAACTTTCAGGAATAGAAAATTCAATGTATGATCCTGCTAATTTAAGGGCACATGGCCCACGTCCTTTTAAGGGGACACTCCCCACGTTTTTAGCGCCTTAATTGCAGTTGACTGGCATTTGACTTTGCAAATTGGCCTGGGACATTCCCTCCCCTCCCTCTCGCCTTCTCTTCCTCTTGCGGCAGCAGGACTGACTGCGTAAATGGTGTGTGTCCCTTTTTCTACTGCAGACTACAGAAACAACAACTGACTGCACATTAAAAATTAAAAAAGCCAACAAAACGAGTAAGGAACTTGAGACGAAGTGAAGTGACAGTGGCTTGCAGGGGATTTCTGAATAGGGTTTAAAAAGGGAATTTTTAAGGATAAGGTTTTCTTTTCGTGTAAGTCGGGAAATAATTGACAATAAATTGATAAACAAGAGCGTGAATATTGCTCTTTGTTTTCATAAACTCCTTATAAAAAAATTGGTAATGTTATAATGGTTTATAACAAACCTAACGTAACTAGGAAACATTTATGAACACCCAACACACAATTGAATTACCTGAAGAGTTCAAATAATATTTTCTTTTTAAAAGAAGCTTTTTTATCCTCTAAAGGAATTCGTTGAAAAATGTTTTTAAGGATGTTTTGGTATTTAACCCTTTTTTTACGCCACTGTTTGTTGAAAATTAAAAAAGAAACCCGTTCCGCTCAAAGTCAAAAGCCAAAAGCTAAAGCAAAAGTCGAACAAGAAGGAGGGAAAAAACAAGGGAGTGCTGCAAAAGAACTTTGCCTACAACAACGAACAGCAGAATGGAGAAAAAGTTCAAAAAAAAAGAAGCAAAGTAATTTCATGCATCGTTTAATTTTCATTCGGGTTTAATTTGTGCAACGCCCCCACAACATAACCCCCCTTTTCAGGGTTCCAGTTTCGCCATTCTCACCATATCACCATAAAGAGTTTCTTGATGGCACTTCTTCCCCTTTTTGGCGGAATGCTGAAACTCGCCATTTAGACCTAATATTCAACAGCCACTTCCAGCTCAACTGACAATTGAAAAAGCAAATAAAATGGCGGGTAAAAGGGGTAAGACAAATGTTACGGAACCAGAAAAGTAACAGCCCTCAAAAATAAATACACTCGCACGGAACTGAAATTGACTCCAGCCAAACTTGGAGACAAATAAAATTAAATGAAGCGCAGCATTGTGTTTCATTTGTAAACCTTTTGCAAAGATATTGTTTTAAAATCATTCGCAAAATTAAACGACGACGAATGAATTTGTTTTTGAAAAATGTATAAAAATATTTATCGTTAAATTATTTTGTGTCAAGTATTCGCTAAAATTATAAATCTAAGATAGTATAAAATGTATGTTTAATTCTGTTACATTACTAAAAGAGTTTCATGACTTCTTGCAAAATATCCTTGTGCCTCATATTTGCCTAACTCCTTTCAACCATTTCGATGTCATTCCCACACGTTCAAAATAGACGACTTGTCCGCAGACAAAAATTGTTTCGACTTTAATGAAGTCAATTTTGGAAGTTGTTCGTGCCGCCCCTACCATTCTTCTCATACAATTTCGGGACCCATCCTTTCGAAAATTCTCAACCCCCTTTTTGTAATTGA